CAATTCCTGGTACCAAAACAAACAAGCAAAAATGTATATAAATAAATTGAAAAGGTAAGCACAAGACAGAATAATAATTACAAAATAGAGTTCTTTCTGTTTTATATTCTTTTGGTAGCGGGGATTGAACCCAGGGGCACTGTACCACTGTGCTATGTCCTCAGCCCTTTAAAAAAAAAAATTAAGACAGGGTCTCTTCAAGTTGCTAAGGCTCGCTTGCAACTTGTGATCCTCCTGCCTCAGCCTCCCTAGTTGCTGAGATTACAGGCATGTGCCATCATGCCCCACTATGTCTGACAAAGTTCTGTATAAAGAACTACACCAGACATATAAAGACCACTGTAGCAAAGCGTGTCACAGGTACCTCTCTGTCAGTAAGAGAAATATAAATAGCCAATAAACATTTAAAAATTCTCACCTTATATAGTAATAAAAGGAAATTCAAATTAAAACAACAGTGAGATTATTTCCACCTTAAATCTCAAGTGTGAAGAACTTTGATAGCCTCCAGGCTTATGACAGAGGGAGGGAGCAGGCACTCAGCATATATTTTGGTGCTGTGTATTCAAGGACAAAAATATCCACAAAATTATGCTTATACCACTGATCCAGTCTTCCAGATACATACTGGAACAAATTATTTACTAAAAAATGAAATAAAAGTAAATTCTCATCATCATGGGACTGATACACTAAAAAAAGACATCAGCAAAATGAAACTACTTGAAGTCTCCTTTTAAAAATGAGTAGGATTTATATTCCCTGAGATGCCCATATTGTATCATTGGGTAGATGAAATTAAAGAACAGTATGTATAGAACATTCAGATCATATGGGATAATCATACTTATTGGCAAAAAAAAAAAAAAGTGTGTGTGGACAAAGGAAAAATAGTACCCATCAAACAGTAATGAGTGAGAGCAGTGTTGACAGTTTTCCCTATTTTATGAGCAGTTTCTGTATTGCTTATACTTTTATGTGTTTTCCTTTTTTCAATTAAACTTTTAGAGAAATTTTAGGTTCACAGTAAAATGAGAGGCAAGAACAGAAAGAGCTCCCCTATGCCCTCATTCCCCCACCACACTGTCCCCTCACCACCTGCATCCTATATCACTGTGGTATGTTATAATCAATGAGCTTACATCAACACGTCATTATCACCCAAAGGCCACAGCTTTCGTTAGGACTCACCCTTGGTGTATTTCAATGGGCTTAAACAAATATATAATGACCTATATCCACCATTATAATATCACACTGAATAGTTTTACTGCCCTAAAAATTCTCTGGACTCTACCGATTCATCTCTGCTCCCCTCTAACCTTTTGCAAACACTGATCCTGTTAAGTGTCTGCCGAGCTTCGTCCTTCCTAGAGTATCTTATTGTTGGAAATCACACAGTAAGTATGGCTTCCTGCACTCATGCATTTGAGGTTCCTCCATATCTTTTCATGTCTTGAAAGCTCATCTCTTCTTAGCACTTTACATTATTCTGTTGCCTAGATGTACCACAGTTTATTTTTCTATTTGCCTCCTGAAGGAGATCTTGGTTGCTTCCAAGTTTTGGCAATTATGACTAAAGCTGCTATAAATAAACATCTGTCTGTTTTTTTGTGTGTGTGAATATACATTTTCAAGTCATTTGGATAATTACCAAGGGGTATGATTGTTGGACTGCATGGTAAGAGTGTGTTGTTTAGTTTTGTAAGAAACTGTCAAACTGAGGCTGGGGCTGTAGCTCAGTGGCAGAGCGCTTTCCTACCATGCATGGGGCACTGGGTTCGAGCTTCAGCACCACATAAAAAAATAAAGGTATTGTGTCCACCTACAACTAAAAAATAAATATTAAGAAAAAGAAACTATCAAACTGTCTTCCAAGTGGCTGCACCATTTTACATTCCCATCAGTAATGAATGAGCATTCCTTTGACTCCATGTCTTCACTAGTACTTGGTATTATCAGTGTTTTGATTTTTGGCTATTTAATAGGTATATAATGGATATAATGGTATCTTATTGTTTTAATTTACAGTTCCCTACTGACATATGATCTTGAACATCTTTTTATATTTGCCTATTTTTAATAGGCAAAATTATTCACTTTCTTATTCCTGAGTTTTAATCACTCTTTATACTTTATAACTGTCCTTTCTCAAATGTGTGTTCTGTAAATATTTTCTCCTAGTCTGTGGCTTGTCTTCTTATTCTCCAACATTGTTTCACAGAGCACAAATTTTAATTTGAATAAAGTTAGCTAGTCGGTTATTTATTTCATGGCTCATGACTTTGATGTTATATCTAAAAAGTCATCTCTGTACCCAAGATCAATTAGATTTTTCTCTTATGTTATCTTCTGGAGTTTTAAGATTTTTTACTTTTTACATTTAGGTCTACTGATCCATTTTAAGTTAATTTTTGTGACAGGTCTAAGATCTGTGCCTAGATTCTTTTTTGTTTTTTTTTATTTTTAGCAAATGGATGTCCAAGTGTTCCAGTGGTATTTACTGGAAAGACTATTTTTACTCCATTGTAGTGCCTTGATTCCTTTGTGAAAGTTCAGTTGACTATATTTGTTTGGTGTATATTTTACTTTTATAACCAGAATAAAGAATATGGTATACAGAAAATTATTTTGGTGAGGCAAATTCCATAAAAGCATATAGAAAACAAAACAAACCCTATTTTTACCCCCACATAGATCACCAGGCATAAACCAGAGCAGAGGGGTTGATGGATGGCAAGCTCATCACAAGCAAGGGTCTCTTCAAGTTGTGTGTACAGGAATGTCAGAAGACAAACCCACATCAGAACGTCAGGTTCTGAGGGAGCTGAGGCAAGATGGAATATAGGATCAATATTGGTCAATTTTGCATTGCTGTGACCAAAATACCTGACAAGAACAATTTCGAGAAGGGACAGTTTATTTGGGGCTCATGGTTTTAGAGGTCTCAGTCCATAGATGGCTGACTGCATTGCTCTGGGCCTAAGGTGAGGTAGAACATCTTGGCAGAAGGGGATGAGGGATGCACTGCAGTATTCATGGCAGCCAGGAAGCAGAAAGACAGAGTGGGGAAGGGACCAAGGGGAAGATGAACCCTTCCAGGTTATGCCCTGTGACCCATGTCCTCCAGCCCTGCCCCACTAGTCTACAGTTACCACCCAGTCCATTCTAACTAGATTAGGTAACAGCTCTCACAATCCAATCCCTTCACCTCCAAACATTCCTGTGTTAACAGGAGCTTTGGAGGACAACTCTTATTCAAATAATAACAGGGTCCCAGTAACGCAACTGGGATTGGCATCTAAGATTACTAACCCAAGTAGAAAGAAAGCAGGAAGGGACTCCAGACAGGTAGATTTGCACAAGTGACATAGTGCTCATTTGGAAACCAAAGGTGACTGTTTTCTGTTTTTATATGCTCTCAGGCACTGTGGGAACAGTTGAAGCTGAGGTGAGCCAAGGCTCTGTGGATAGTGGTGGCTGTTGGTGTTGGCAAAAATGGCTGGGATTGCTTCCCAATCAAACTTCATGTTCCTATTGCAAGTCATAGGTCATTAGACACTTTTGAATGTGAAATGGCAGAATGTTCTGGGATGTAATGTCTTTGTTGTGGCTCCCTTACAGATTACCTAAATTTCTAGGAACTAGCCCAAACTTTCCTTTATTTACCCACTGACCTTCCCAGTTTTTAATTGAGTATACTGAGTAAGTAGGTTTCTAAGCTATGTGCAGTGTGTGTTGGTGGAGGTGAGTACTCAAGGCAATTTAGACTCAGTTCCTTAGCCCAAGACACTCTCAGCCTCTTCATAAAATAAATAAGAATGAAAACCATACAGTCAAGGCACAATGTGATAACTTAGAAGCGTTGAAGGTAAAGGTTTTAACTGTATTTGCTTACTAACTCTGTGATCTGAGACAGACTACATTGGAGTCAGTTTTTGCATTGGCTTAATATATATTTTAAAACTACTGTGCCTGGTATAAGATGTTAAATACTAAAGAGTATTGCTATTATTATCAAAGTGCTATAGGAGAAATATAAGGAAGGTGCAGTACAGATTCAATGGTCTTTTTTCACAAATAGGAAAATAAGAATGACAATATCTCAGGATTACTGTGATAATTATAAATAGTCTTTTCCTTCAAATTACTTTAGGATATACAGAATAACCATTGCTGAACTCTACTAGTATTGCTAATAAAAATGGAAGCAATCACTTTTAAAAGACAAAATGGATCTGGTTCAAATGTATGATATGTCAAGATCATTGTACTGTCATGTGTAACTAATTAAAACAAGTTTAAAAAGACAAAATGGTTACATTTGGGGGTGCAAAGAGTAAATTTCTTCATAAAGAATACTCAGTAAGATTTTGTTGTCTTATGAACCCCTAAATTTAGGAGTCTTATGAATTTGGGACCTTGATATATTTTTGGTCTACAAACTTGTTTCTCCCTTACTATAAAACCTTTCTGCAGCATATTTGGAAGTAGAAATATTTCCATATTTGTGTGGGAAATAATAGCAAATTTATGTCCAGATGTGCTTTCAATAGAGAAAGGGGTTCAACCCTGTTCTAAGAGTCTGAGAGCAAGGATCTTGGATAATAATATCATCACAAGCTATAGTCCCTGAAACACTCTGAGCCATCAGATCTTTTACCCATAGCAAGACCTAGAGTCTTTATCTGGCATGATCAAGGAAGAGTTGATACCAGTTTATCCTCCACTGGGACTCTATTGACTCAAGACAGCTCTAGACTCACCTATCCCCACCTCATTGTGGCCTTAGCAATGGATGTGGTTGTCCAGTCAATAGAACAGACTTCACTGGGTGGACTTTATGTGGTCAGGGTGATGTTAAGCTCTATAAACGCTGCACATAGCCGGTGTTGCACCAGGCAGGCTCTGCCATGAAGTAGCTTATGATCCCATCACTTTGCTACTTCTGCCGTGGAAGTCTTTCTCCTTCAGCCTTGTGCTTTGTGCTTCATTTCCAGAAGATTCCACAGCCAACAAAGATTCTGGTCAAGAGTCTGAGTCTATTCCAGAATATACAGCTGAAGAGGAACGGGAAGACAACCGGCTGTGGAGGACAGTGGTGATTGGAGAACAAGAGCAACGGATTGACATGAAGGTCATCGAGCCCTACAGGAGAGTCATTTCTCACGGAGGTAGTCATGCTATGTGTGAATCTGGGAAATGGGGAGGGGTGGCCATATTTTTAAATGAGAAATAAATAAAACCAGGATTCTCTGTAACATGACATCCCAAAGACACCATGTTCTGTAGTCTGTGTTCAGGTAACAGAGAGTTAAGTGTGTTACGTTATCCTCTATCCACTAAAAATTTGAAAGTCTACTATGGCAAAAAACAAAAACAACAACAACAAAAACTTTTCAATGTAAAAAGGTCTTTGTGTGCCATGTTATAATCTGTCCAAATTTCTCAGAAGCCATAGTTGTCCAATGTCTTAATGTCTGTTTGGAATTCCTATCAACAGTGTTGAACTGAATAGCTTATAGTGTGTCATACCATGTCCTGTAGTAAGACCTGGTGGAACTCATTTCTATAAAATGCCTTTTGAATTCTCTTCAGAAGCTTTTGGGAATCTTTTTAGACTCAGCCTGGTACTTTATTTCCTCCTACCTAAAGTTTGCTTTTCTATAAACTACGTCAGATCTAGGTCCAACAATTTCTAATCCCTGTGAAAGCTTCCACCTGCTTAGTGAGGGACCAGGAAAGGGGAAAGCATATTTTGTATTTTCAGTGCTTTCTTGAGGCCTATAGGGGCATAAGAGCCTTGATTAATTTGAGATTCAAAAAAGTCAGAGGAGCACAAGCAACACATTGAACATTGTCGACTTCAGAAAACATCCACGGCTTTTTGATTTTTCTACTGCATGAATTCCTTTCCCGCACTCCTGAGGTGCCACTGTAACCAACCAGCTGGTCCAGAAAAAGTGCAAGCTAACCAGACAATTGCTGCTGTCTATGTTCTGTCTTCCTCAATGAGTACAGGGAAATAAGAGTCTTGGCACTGAATTAAATCCGCAACATTTGTTTTCTAAAGAACCTGAGGACGTTTTGTTATTTCAGTTAAACATCCTTCCATCAGTAGAGCTTTCCCTTTCTGTCCCATGCACTGCCACCTTCTATAAGTACCAGGACCATTCAGGGAACCCAACTGTGACAGTGAGGGAGAATGCCAGTCGGAGCCCTTGGCCATGCCCCATGTTTGCCTTGCCTCTCCTGAAATGGCAGTATGCCCCTGTGGTAGCTGCTGTGGGGTCAGGGACAGTGGTCTTGGAGAGAAACCTGTCCCACACCTCTTTGGAATGAAGGCTGGCCTGATCCTGCTAACAGACAAGTGACCTTATAGTAAACCCTTTTGTTTTTAGGGTGAAAACCACAACTGAAATGACTCTCGAAATCTTCTCAGAGAGTCATTCCTCCTTTGTGCCACCCATAGGGTATTTTGGGTTTGTTTGCTTTTGGGAAATGAAACAAAGGCTGACTATAAGTGTGGCCTATGTTTATTCTTAAAAAAGGATAGAAAATACAGGAAAGTCTGTCAAAGTAAATTAGTCACCCCATGATAATCCCGGCGACATTTACCCCCTCGGCTCTTAAGGTCCTCGTGTTGTGATGAAGGCAGGCTCTGATGTTGCTGTCCTCGGCTGAGTTCTTTCTCAGTCCCCCAGCAGAATCACCTATTTGTCAACTCCTGGGAAGTCAGGTGGGCTGGTTGGATGGGTTAAGCCCATCGAGCTGGAGCCTAAATCAGGACAAAGTGATTAACAGCAGTACCAAGATGGTCGGGAAGAGCCACTGCCTCTGCCTGTCATGGCTTCTAGAAACTCACCTGAGACCTTAGGGCTAACCTGGTTTGCTGAGCTTTCTGTGCCTGCCACCTCCTGCCCTTGGCATTTTCTCCCCTCCATCATGTGTGGCAAGCTTGATTTTGTCTGTGTGACTGTCCAGTTTGTTTTGAAAGGAAGGGTGCCTTTCCTCTCCCTGGCTTTACCTCAGCCTCCTCCAGGCACTGACCTGCATGAATGTACCTCTGGCTGCTCTCATCCGGTCCATCAGCAAGAGGCCACCTTCTTACACGCTCAACCGCTTTTGTATCCTGTAGGTAAAGAGTGTTTGGATGTTACTTCTGAATTTGCCAAAGACTTGTCTTCCATATTGGAAACTTATATCCCTCTCTCAGATCTTAGATGACAAAGTTTCTTGGTTACCGATCTCTTGAGTTTGTCATCCTGGCTTCTGATGAGCATTTAAAAAGCAGACTTCTCAGCGAGCATGAGCCTTGCTCTGGAGCTTTGCCTTTTTGGTATGAGGCCGTTTTTCCCCTCTGGTCCTTAGGGAACCGTGGACAGTGCTCTGTGTGGTAAATTGGAAGGGGGGTTAGCAAAAGAGTTGCAGAAGCTGGCCCCAAAGTCCGACACTGCCAGGTGCTCCCCGTGGGTTGGAACAAATAGTTCAGTCTTCAGCTTTGGCGACTTTGATATGAGCTATTGTCATAAGTCCTGAACACAATGCAGACCTGTGAGTTTAAGGCCTATCTTTGCCACTTAGTGGCCTCTGCCTCTTATCAGTCATTTACTTCTTCTGGGCTTCAGTTACTTCACTAGTCAAATTAAGGTGATCCCAACGCCAGTGTTCACTTTCTATGATCCCAGAAACACTATCCCTGCCATCTGCTTAAATGGAAAAAAAAAAAAAAAGCAAAAAGTGTTATAGTTATAATTAGTTTTGCTAAGTCAAGGGCATGGGGTCACATGGAGGCCAGAAATGGCTTTTTTTCAACTTAGAACAGAGAACACATTTAAATAACCAAGGACAATCACACGGAAAGAATTTTAACAAGGAGTTTCCTGTTTCCTTTCTTGTTCTTTTTTTTTTTTCTCTTATTTCATTATAGGAGACTCAGGTAACCTTCTCTGAAATGTTGCTGGACAGATGATCCTGGAAAGAATGCGGAGAAGAGTTGCTGGCTGGTGTGTGTGTGTGTGTTTGGGTTGTGACTGTGACGTCTTTCCTTCTCTCTCCATTCCATTTGCTGGCCAGCAAACTTGTGTTACACCCCTTTCATGCCTGTCTGTGCCACCTCAGGTAAGGCTTGCCACCACTGCTTCAGATAGCCCAAGGAGGCTCCTTGGTGGGGTTGTTCCCACCCCCACCACATGTACCCTGTCTACCTCATGTTTATAAGGAAGAGAGTCTGACAAAGTAAATATTTTAAAAACCAAACTCCATATAAGTTATGCTGTTGCCAACAGGCAACTTCACCTGAAACTCTGCATATTTTAGGATAGAAATTTACCCAGGAAGCCTCTGGAGTGGGGGCGGGGGCAATGAGCAAATGATCCCACTCATTTTAGTCATTGCACTTCGCCAGCAGGCATTACCCAAAGTGTCCCTGAAGCCCGATGATGATGACTCTTGACTTAGGAGGAAAACTTTCATGAGGAATGTTTTCCTTCTGCTTCCTTTCCTAAGTTACCTTCTCTCCTATTCTCTTCTTTTCCCATCTCTTCTTCCCTTCTTACAGCAACTCTAACCTAGAGTATGAGGAACTATTTCTATTTGAAAAGTCCAGCAATATTTATATAAAGAAATATTCCTCACTTAGACAGTGATCACGAAGCAGTACACTGATCCCTCAAGTGTTCCTTCCACTAAATGAGTTCTGGAGAGCACCATCTGTAGCATTCATACAGGGGCCTAATTGCCATTTAAGATGACTTCTCAAATACTATTTATAAACCCCCGTCTTTCTTCTTTTAAAAAAATTGCTATATTGTGTGCATATATGAATATGTAACAACAAATCCCACTATTATGTATAATTATAATGCAACCGATAAAAAATTAAAATGTTGGGCCAATAAAAAAATACAGAAAAACAATTTCACAGAAACCAGAAAAAAGAAATCAAAATCAGTCATGACCTTGAAAATATTCTGATACCCTGGAGCCAGACAGCCCCATTTATAAAGATGTGTGCTTATTTGTTTTTTTTGTTGGATTCATTATGTCTGTCGTCTCTTTTAATGAACTGTTTTTGTTGTGCTCAGTATAAAATGCATATCTTTGTGGTGTTAGCTAAGTCACCATATCCTTCGTGGATTTCCATTGAGTTATGAATTCTCAGAAATGAAATTGGTAGAACAAGCTTTTCTTGATTTAAAATATATCTCTTTCTGCCATTTCCTTCATATTTGCATTTTGAAAATAAGTTGGTAAATGCTTACATGTTAGAAAAGTTGGAACTAAAGCAAAACATCAGAAGGGAAGCTACTGTAATGTTCTTTCACAAACATGAGTTCCAGGGTGGCTGCTTCCATAGGTAGCATCTTGTAGAATATAACACCATATACAGCAACCGCAAATTAGTAATTCTCACAAGCCCACAGCTGGATATATTTTTGGTTGGTTTCGTTCTTCCCCCACCGCCTTGCAGTAGAGTCATATTCTTTTTGTAGAGAACATCTTATTAAACTGCTTTTTAGGAGTTGTTTAACCCATCCAAATTTATACCCAGTCAGCATTTTATACCAGAGGAATATTTAGAATTCTGAAAAAGTGCAACACTGAGTTTGAGAGGACCAACTCAGACACGAAGGTGTGTTCTGTCCTTCTCAAAACTCTGAGGGAATCTCTATTTCATGATTCTGTTGTCCAGAACTAGATGATATTTAAATATCATTTAAATTGGGATATTAAAAAAATGATAGGCTATTTTAAAAATAATAAGTCAAAAAAGTGTCGCCTAGGGCTGGAGTTGTGACACAGCAGTAGAATGTGTGCTAAACATGTTTGAGGCCCTGGGTTCAAGACTCAGCACCCCCCACCCAAATGACAATACAGGACATCGCTTCCCAGTTTCGGTGTTGAAGACGCAATTTGTTCTATACTCCTACCTACGGGGATTTGACAGACACCTGCCATGAATTTCAATGATGAGCTCTAAGGGAATAAAAAGTTTGCTTAAAAGACAGAACAATGCCAAAATGATGTCAGATCTCTCAAAAGACAGGAATAATGTCCTGAGATGTGTCTACATGTTCCTTAGCCCTTGAAGTGTCAATGGCCACACTGACTTCCATTGACCATCTCCTATTTCCTCAGCATCACCTACACACAGCACTTCCCCACCCTCACCATCTTATTATTAGGAAGTAATTCTCAAGTTTTCCCAAACCACCTATTTTTATAAAACTCAAAGAGAATTTAGCCAGGCCCTTCTTGAGCGTGCCCCTTTCTTTAAGAGGCTAGGCTCTAAATTCTGGGCTCAGTTACTCTAAGCCTGGCTAGAACTTTTCTCATACACCTTATGCTACCTATTGAGTTCAGAGGTCCCAGGGGTATTACACACAAGTGACCAGGCCTTGAAATCAAACAAAGGTGTTGTACATGTCTGTTGACTAGTATCTGGTTACTGGAGTGTGTGGGTGTGAGATGATATTGCAGTTCAGTGACGAACTGAATGAATTGGGGACTACAACTAAAAAGAGCTAAAGAGAATCAACATAACCTCTTTCTTAGCCATCAGAATGAAGAAATAGTATATAAATTAGCTTTTAAAAATAAATTTGTATTATATAAATTGCAAAAACAGTGTTGCCTGGGGCTGGAGTGAAGTGCGTACCTGGCATGTATAAGCTCTGGAGGAAAAAAGGTTACTTTTTTTGATAAGTTGAATATATATATATATATATAAAAGAGATAGATAGGTATAGATACATGTGCTATGCACAACTATGTACAGTACATAAAATCATCCAAATATGCTCACACTATATATTTAACAAGTTACTTGAGTATCAAAAGATAATTATATGTGTATATGCTATAGAACTCTAGTCAACTCATGCGATATCTATCATTTCCATACACATACTTGCCAAATCTTCAGATTTATCAATAGGATCTTGTTAAGAGCTTTCAATCGGTTACAAATGTCTTTTTGTTTGTCCCCCAGGATACTATGGGGACGGCCTAAATGCCATCATTGTGTTTGCCGCCTGTTTTCTGCCAGACAGCAGTCGGGCGGATTACCACTATGTCATGGAAAATCTTTTCCTGTGAGTGATGCTTATGACAAAGTGCTTTGAGTAAATAAATGTCTGTGGGTATGTAATGGCAATTAAGGGAAGTAGGTGATGTAGAATATCCTGAGCCTTTGATAAAAAGTTAATAAGATTGCTGTCAAGGAGTGTTGTTTAAGAGGCTAGAACCTTTAAAGGAATTCTTTTGTCAGTAGAACTCATGGAAAATAAAGTGAGCAGAGTTTGTTCTCCCTCTAAAATGTCTGTAACATTTCCTTTGCGCAAAGTATTATTTTTGTTTCCTGATAATAAGTTCTTAATCCACTGATGAAAACTTGATTTCATTTATCTCTGCCCTTGTTTAATATGAGTTGCCCTTAATGTTTGATGACATAGTTATCATTTCTGAAAGTCAGATTTATAACTCATGTATTTTTCTGTGGTACCTGAATTTAGAAAACAAGCAAACAAAAATTAGATAACCATACAAAGAAATGAGTAGTACCCTCAGAGAAATGATCTTAAGTAATTGCATTGTTCCTGAGATAAAGTGGTAATAAATCACAACTCTACTAAAATGTCATTCACTCTGTAATTTGTTACATAATTATGGTGTGAACAGGATGAAATACTTCACGTGGAAACTGAAAAACTCCTTTTCCTTCCTGTGATCAGATATGTAATAAGTACTTTAGAGTTGATGGTAGCTGAAGACTACATGATTGTGTATCTGAATGGTGCTACCCCAAGAAGGAAGATGCCAGGGCTTGGCTGGATGAAGAAATGCTACCAGATGATTGACAGACGGTATGTGGACTCCATTATTTAACTAGTGTGTCGACTCCTTCAACAGCTCTCATATCAGATTTCTTTTTAGTCTACCAAATATGCAGTCACATTTTAAAAACATGGAGTTATGCATGTTTAAAGCAATAAATTATAGAAATACTAATAAAAGTGTCACTTGACACCTCAAAGTTGAAATAAAGTACAACCTTCCCAGATTTTGTGAATAGAGTCAAACTCAACAGACCAAGTCTATTTTAAACTGTGCATGTGCTATTGCCAATAGATATGTGACTTGAGTGGATCAGTTAAAGTACCTGAGCTTCTTGGGTGGTATCATGTGAATTGGTTGCTGTTTCGTGCACTGGGACAATGGTGGTCTGCATAGCACTGTGCTCGTGTTTCAGTATTCACTGTCAGTTCAAGGTATCCAGTGCTTTTGTGTCCTTGAGATACTTCTGTCCATACTTTTTTTTTTAGGAGAGAGAGAGAGAGAGAATTTTTTAATATTTATTTTTTAGTTTTTGGTGGACACAACATCTTTATTATTTTTTTTTAATGTGGTCCTGAGGATTGAACACAGTACCCTGCGCATGCCAGGCAAGTGCTCTACCACTTGAGCCACATCCCCAGCCCCCTACTGGTTTTATTAGGAAAAAACATTTTATTGCCATGTACAGGAAAATTGATATAATAAGCATACAAATTTATGATATCTAGTATGTATTACATCCCCTTGTATAAGAACATGAGAATGCCCAGTTATATATGAAACAAACCTGTTTTATGATACCAATGTTAATAATATAATGCTACAAATGCTGAAAAAATGTGCGCAAAGACCAAGAATTGTTAAAATGGTAAATTTTCTTTAAACAAAAGAATAAAAAAAACAAGACTTACTAAGATTAAATAAATTGTCAAAATTGTTATTAAGAGTGCATTCTTAGCTGGGCCTGGTGGTACACACCTGTAATACCAGTGGCTTGGGAGGCTGAGGGAGGAGGATCGCATGTTCAAAGCCAACCTCAGCAACTTTGCAAGGCCCTATGCAACTTAGCAAAACCCTGTCTCAAAAATTTTTTAAAAAGGTGGAGGGGGATGTGGCTCAGTGGCTAAGCACAGCTGGGTTCAATCCTTGTTATACAAAAAAACAAAAAACAAAACAAAACATTTTTTTCCAAAAGAGTAAAGATAATATTGACAAAAATGAAAAGCATCATTAACAAAATACACCATGGTGACTATAGATGTATGCACTCCAATAATACTACTGTTCTATTTTACATTTATTTCTATGGGAAAATGAGATTTGTTTCAAATTATGTCTTGAAAAACATTTTTTGTTAATCGTGGCAATTTTGTACTTTCCATCAGATAAGAATATAGATATTCTTATTTGGGGATTTATTTTCTATTTAATTCCCACTGAAAATGGGTTAAGAGTAATAGGTATTTTTTTTTGTTTCTTCAAAATAGATTGCGCAAAAATTTGAAATCATTCATCATTGTTCATCCTTCTTGGTTCATCAGAACAATCCTTGCTGTGACACGACCTTTTATAAGGTACAGTTATCATTCTAGTAAAAGCACTACTAGTAGATTTTTTTAGGTATATAAATTATTATATAAAAATAATTTATAAGCTGAGAGTATTTAGGAAAATTTATTTTGCCTCAACCTTTCCTGGAAAGATACTTTGTTCTACACATCAGGAGTCCCTAATTAAGAGTTAATATTTGAATATTAATATTCCCCCTTGTTTATTGTAAAACACAACCTCTAAATTGCTTCCTATGAACATGGAACATGAAGTGATAGGACTTCCATGCCACATTAGAAAAGGAAATAGACAAAACTTTTTCAATGATATGTTATTTTATAACAGATAGGAAAGCAGAATAATATGAAAATGGAAAATAAATACTGACCAGGTACAGTATTGTCTTTCTGTTTCATTTCTTCTGAACAAATATCATATATGTCACCAAAATTAGGTAAAGAGTCCAGGCAGCCATTTCAAGAGTTGTATTTTGAGCAAATGTGAGGATTCTTGCTTTTAATTCAGTGAATTTGAGCAAATGTGAGGACTGGGATAGCTAGGTCAAATGGTGGTTCCATTCCAAGTTTTCCAAGGAATCTCCATACTGCTTTCCATATTTGGCTGTAACAATTTGCAGTCCCACCAGCAATGTATGAGTGTGCCTTTTCCCCACATCCTCACCAATACTTATTGTTGTTTGTAGTCTTACTAGCTGCCATACTGACTTTGAGTGAGATGAAATCTTAGTTTTGATTTGCATTTCTCTAATTACTAGGGATGATGAACATTTTTTCATGTATTTGTAGATTGATTATATATCTTCTTCTGAGAAGTGTCTGTTCAGTTTTTTGGCCTACTTTTTGACTGAGTTATTTGCTTTTTGGTGTTAAGGTTTTTGAGTGCTTTATATATCCTGGAAATTAGTGCTCTATCTGATGTGCGAGTGGTAAAAATTTGCTCCCATTCTGTAGGCTCTCTATTTGCCTCATTGATTGTATCGTTTGCTAAGAAGAAGCCTTTTAGTTTGATACCATCCCATTTATTGATTCTTAGTTTTATTTCTTGTGCTATAGGAGTCTTATTAAGGAAGTTGGGGCCTAATCCGACATGATACAGATTTGGGCCTACTTTTTCTTCTATTAGATGCGGAGTCTCTGGTTTAATTCCTAGGTCCTTGATTCACTTTGAGTTGAGTTTTGTGCATGGTGAGAGATAGGGGTTTTATTTCATTTTGTTACATGTGGATTTCCAGTTTTCTCAGCACCATTTGTTGAAGAAACTATCTTTTCTTCAATGTACATTTTTGGCGCCTTTGTCTAATATAAGATAATTGTAGTTATGTGGGTGGGTCTCTGTGTCCTCTATTCTGTACCATTGGTCTACCAGTCTATTTTGGTGCCAATATCATGCTGTTTTTGTTACTATTGCTCTGTAGTATAGTTTAAGGTCTGGTATAGTAATGCCACCAACTTCACTCTTCTTGCTAAGGATTGCTTTAGCTATTCTGGGTCTCTTATTTTTCCAGATGAATTTCATGATTGCTTTTTCTATTTCTATGAGGAATGTCATTGGGATTTTGATTGGGATGCATTGAATCCGTATAGTGCTTTTGGTAGTATGATCATTTTGAGAATGTTAATTCTGCCTATCCAAGAACAAGGTAGATCTTTCTACTTTCTAAGATCTTCTTTAATTTGTTTCTTTAGCATGCTGTACTTTTATTTGTAGAGGTTTTTCACCTCTTTCATTAAGTTTATTCCCAAGTATTTCTTTTTCAGGCTATTATAAATGGGGTGATTTTCCTAGTTTCTCTTTCAGTGGATTTATCACTGATGTACAGAAGTGCCTTTGATTTATGGATGTTGATTTTGTATCCAGCTACATTGCTGAATTTATTTATTAGTTCTAGGAGATTTCTGGTGGAATGTTTTGGGTCTTCTAGGTATAAAATTATATCGTTGGCAAATAGTGCTAATTTTCATTCTTCTATTCCTATGTGTATCCCTTTAATTTCTTTTGTCTGTCTGATTCTCTGGCTAGAGTTTCAAGAACTATGTTAAATAGAAGTGCTGAAAGAAGGCATCCCTGTCTTGCTCCAGTTTTTAGAGGGAATTCTTTGAATTTTTCTCCATTTAGAATGATGTTGGCCTTGGGCTTAGCATAGATAGCCTTTAAAATGTTGAGGTATGTTCCTGATGTCCCTAGTTTTTCTAGCATTTTGAACATGAAGGGGTGCTGTATTTTATCAAATGGTTTCTTTGCATCTATTGAGATGGTTATATGATTTTTATCTTTGAGTCTATTGATGTGATGAATTACATTTATTGATTTCCGTATGTTGAACCAACCTTGCGTTCCTGGGATGAACCCTACTTCATGGTGCACTATCTTTTTTGATATGTTTTTGTATTCAGTTATGGCAAATTCATTTTAAAGAATGAGTTAATGGTCTTCTATATACTGGAAAACTTACACAGCTTCGCTGCTGTCCCCAAGAATCTCAAAATACAGCAGTGGAAATAGGCAGATAAGCAAACATATACAATACAGGATGCAACTGAAACACCCTGCCAGGATTGACTAGCTGAAAACAGGAAGAAGAGATTCAAGTACACCAAACAGGATAGAACAAAACATGTTTGGAGAGCTGTGAATTCCAAGGAGCAAACCCCCGGAGCTGGAGGCTTTCCCCTTGCATGATTTCTTTCCTGATTCTTGATTATCCACTCAGCCTTTAGCAAAATCTGAACTTAAAGATTGGGGTGTAGCTCAATAGTAATGTGCTTGCCTGTCATGCACAAGGCCCTTGGTTGGATCCATATCGTTGCAAACAACAGACAACAACCAAAAGAAACCCGAATTTCATTCACACACTCCAAAGCAAGAAAGATGCTTAATGTAGTCTATCACTGGTGATGTGGATTTGCCCAAGATTTAACAAGAAAGATAGGAGTGACTTTATGGACAGGAAGGTTGTCCAGAAGTCATAGTCCACAGGCCCAGGGTTAGAACCTTAAGGAAAATATTAAAGGTAGATATATAGAAAAAATAAAAAAGCTTTGAAAAAACTTCTTACCAGAATGCACAGTAGCTAAAAGCACGTGTGACAGTGCTATTGGCACCCAGATCAGCACAATCCCATAGACTAGGGAGGTGTGTTTATGTGAAACTATGGAGAATGTTAGAACCTTGAGCAAATTCACTTTCAGCTGGAATTTTTATATTTTAAAAATAAGTTTGCAATTACACAAATATTAGAAAACACGTTCTTCAGAAATGCATCTTCTTATTACAGGTAGGACTAAATTCTTCCTTCAGCAGTTACCAATCCCCCAGAAGCAAATTCTCTTATCAGTTAGTTTCACTGATATCCTTCCAAGTTGTTTTTTATACATTTACACATGTCTAAAATGAACCTGCTTAGATGCAAGCTGTTTGTAATTCAAATCCAATTATTGGAACACATTTTTTTTTGATGTTGGATTGAACTTTCAAATGAAAACTTACAAATTAAAACTTTCAAATGAAAACAACCAGAGATATGAAAAATTGTGCTCTATATGTGTAATATGAATTGTAATGCATCCTGTTGTCATATATAACAAATTAAAATTTTAAAAAATTGAAGAGATATCAGTAGAGTGAAAGTATCAGAAAGTGGGAGGAGGGGAAGGAATGGGGAAATACTAGGGAATAATATTGATCAAATTTTATTGTTATATTGTACACATGTACAAATATGAAATAACAAATCCTACCACTATGTACTAGTATAATGCACCAATAAAAATATGGAAAAATAAAATTTATGGAAGAAAAAAAAGTATTCTAAAATAAAACTACAAAATTAAGACAAAATTGAGTTTACATATATTGTTAACATATATTTACATATATAAATAAATATATTAATTAATATATACATATATATTTACATATATTATTAATATTATTAACCTTGGTAGATAATGAAAAGACTCATTATACAATTTTTGTTTGTTAAAAACAAATAAACAAGCAAAAAGTCAAAGAAAACATAATCCAGTGACTACTCAGAGAGGCAGCTGCTGTGGGGAAGCCATGTGAGGAGTGGTCAGGAGTGTGGACTTTGGAGTCATAAACTCTGTTCCCCAGAGTGCTGCCAATTACTAATGGTGAGACCCTGGGTCTCAGCTTCCTTATCCTTAAAAACTGACAAAAGGATAATTATAGTACCTACTTCTCTAGGCTATAGAAAAAAATATATAAGTGGATATATATACATATATATGTGTGTGTGTGTGTGTGTGTGTGTATCACTTAAAATAATTCCTGGCTGAATATGACATGATTTCATTTATATGATCGGCCCTCTATATCCATGGGTTCTGCACCCGCAGATTCAACTAACTGCAGATTGAAAATATTAAACAAATTAAACAACAACAAAAAAATGTATCTCTGGACATGTACAGACTTTTTTCTTATCATCATTCCCTAAAACAATGCAGTATAACGACTATTTATATAGCATTTACATTGTATTAGGTATTACAAATAATCTAGAGATAATTTTAAGTATATAGGGAGAAATGCATAGGTTATATGCAAATACTGCATATAACCGTGTTGTGTAAGGGCCCTGAGCATCATTAGATTTTGACATCCGAAGTATGTGTATGTTGGGGGAGATCCTAGAACCAATTCTCCATAGCAAGTAAAGGACCACTGTATGTGAACCTACTAAAGTTGAACTCAGAAATAGAGTATAGATTGGTGGTCCCTGGGAACTAGGGTTGGGAAATCATCAAAGGATAGAAAATTATAATTGGAGGAATAAGTTCAAGAGAGCTATTGTACAATAGGGTGACTGTAATTAATAACAATGCATTCTAGTTTTTAAAATTACTAAGAAAAAAAACTTGTTAAGAGTAGATTTAAAGTGTTCTTACCCCCAAAAGCAATAAGTATGTGAGGTAATACTTATGTTGATTAGCTTGACTTAGCCATTTCACAATGCATACACATTTTAAAACATCTTGTTGTGCACAATAAATATTTACAATTTTTACTTGTCAAGTTAAAAAAATAGAAAACAGTGGCAACAGCAAAACAGTGTCTGACCCATGATGACTATTCAAATAGTGTTAAGCTTTCTTCTTAAAATACTGGGCCAAGGTGTTACATCAGAACTTGGGGACTGGGGTGTAGATCAGAGGGTTAGGGTGCTGCTTCATATATGTGAGGTCATGGGTTCCATTCCCAGCACCAGAAAAGTAACAGACAAACAAACAAAAAAGATTTTTAAAGAAGAGACAATGACTTTAGAATGGAGAAGTAGCAGCTAATGATAATGTTTTTCTTTCTTTTTTTTTCTTTTAGTTCAAAATTCAGCAGTAAAATTAAATATGTTAATAGCTTATCAGAACTCAGCGGGCTGATCCCAATGGATTGCATCCATATTCCAGAGAGTATCATCAAGTAAGTCTGATGGTTCTGAAGTTTTGGTAAGAAATAGTATATTTGTGGAAGAAGTGGATGGAAAATAAGTCCTTTCTTGAATAGTGGGGAAATAGTGTTGCATATTTAAAACAAATATTAAATGTTATCAAATATGTATAGTTTTTCCCATAAACTATAGTCTACTGTTCTTTCAGATCATTCTTTACATAATTTTCTTTTGGAATGATTAATTATTATTCATTTTTACCTTGAATTCTGCTTTCACTTTGAAGAAAGTATAAATTTAATATTAACCAGTGTATTCATTACTTGTGATTCCCACTCTGTACATAAACAGTAGGATCTTAGCATAGTTTGGATTTCATTATTGTCTTATATGAAGAAATTTGTCTGTAAGACTCCAGGAAAATACAAGGAAATAACTCTTTCTGTTTTCTTCTAAATCTCTTTTTTCCCCCATGATTCCCTTTAGGTACAAGATAAGAAGGCAGAGGGCATTTGCCCAGTGGTGGGTAGGGTGGTTTTCTTGCTCAGTACAGAGTAACATGGCAGCCTGTTAAGGGAAAGCATGGGTGCTGAAGGTCTCAGAGCTTTGCTCCAAAATAAGAGTAAAAGTTAATGAAACAAGTACTTAGAGCTGGATGTTAAATTGGAGACACTTGAAAATGAACATTTCCTATCTTTTATGTTGTTGCAAAGAACCACTGCTTTTTGTGTACCTTTTTTTTTTCTTCCACTGCATCTGACTCACCAGTTTTGATTTGATTGGAATTGAAAGGGACTTCACCATCACTTCAAAGAAAAAAAGACAAATATTGCATAGCTTCCTCAATGAGATAGAACCAAAACTTTCCTCCCAATTTGAGCTCCAAAACAGTCCTCTCATTTAAAACAAACAAACAAAAAAACTAGAAGGAAAAGATTCTCATTTAATGTGTGTCTAGGGCTGGGGTTGTGGCTCAGTGGTAGATTGATTGCCTAGCATGCATGAGACACTGGGTTTTATTCCTAGCAAAACACACACACACAAATAAAACCTAAATAACGTATGTCTATTAGGTTATGATGTGCCTGCCATAAAGGAGTTAATTTTATATCATTGATTTAATTCCCATAGTAAACCCCCATTTTATAGATGGTCCTGATAAGTTACTTTGTGGACTGGGGTTGTAGCTCAGTGGTAGAATGCTTACCTAGCACACATGAGGCACTGGGTTCCATCCCCACCACCACATAAAATAAAAACTGAATAATCAAAATAAAGGGATTGTATCCACCTATAAGTAAAAAGAAGAAGAAGAAGAAGAACTTACTTTGGGAAAGAATAAGTAGGAACCAGAAAGAGATGAAACTAGAATTCAAATCCAAGTCAGCCTGGCACCCAAATTCCCATGTCTTATTATGGTAAATTTCTTATCTCCCTTAAGCTGTCCGTCTAAATTCAAATCTTAGAAGTAGATAAATGCATTCTGGTTTTTCTCCATCTCCCAAATCAGCATAAATACAGGATACTGATGGACTTATAGTGGTCAGTGGACTCAGCTGAATCAAGCAGAGTGTTTGTAATATCCTAACAATGGCGGCTTTAATCCTCAATAACATCAGAGAGTTACCACAACCAGCACACCTCACAGCTTTGGCCTGCTGCCCATATCCAAAATTCACTGCTACTCTTTAAATTTAAAAAGTGCTGGCTATGCATCTCCTATAATGCTGCCTTTCTTTGTAAAAGATGACATGACATTTCTCTCTTCCATTGGTCATTTTCCAGGTAAATAAGGTAATGCGTCCATGGTGTGGGAGAGACAATAGAATGAAAAGAGAATGGGCTTTGGAGGCTATTAGATTTGAAGCTTCCCTCCTATTTCTCAATGTCTCTGAGACTTCAGGCAACCTACTAAATTATCTGACTCTTAAATTCAGCATCTGTAAAATGGGAAAGTAATTCATTCATCATGGGATGGTCCTCAAGACTGAATGAGAACAGTGTACTTCAAACATTCAGGAAACCACCTGGCAGAGTTGGTAATCTAGAATGTTATTTATTACAATCATGTTGCTTTTGGATACTCACTGCCGTATGGGGAAATTTAATTGAAAAGTTAAATATGACCAAGGCTGTTTTAATTTGTCTGTGTATATCAGTTCTCCAGGGCTCAATGTGGGAAAAGGTACCTCAGGAAGAAAGGTCCCATTCAGAAAGATTTTCTTTTGGAGATAGATATTTAGCAGCCAGGATGTTCTCCCACTTGTCCGTGTTTCTGTCTTCTGTAATCCATCTCCCTGGGATGTCCTTTCTGCTGTTTCTGTTACTGGTCTTTGTTTTCACATTATGCAGTTTTCAAATGATACAAGCCATAACATTTTTCTGTTACTAAATAACGTACAAAAGACTTGATCTCAGCTAATCACATGACCAATATTCAGCTGGGATAGAGTCTATCATCAAAGGGCTTACATGATGGAAAATTTGCTCAACCAGGAATGGGACTGATTGGTTGATTGATTTGATTGATTAATCAACTGATTACAGTTAATTCTCATTATTTGTGGCAATTAGGTTCCATAAAATCATTGTAGCCAATTAGTAAATACTGAACTATTATTCCTAGGGAAAATACATTTCTGTAAGTCTCCAGTCACAACATTTTTATAACCCAATCAAAATATTAGTTTATTTTATGTATTTTTCTGTTTAAAGATACCTTATTAGTATATACTGTTGATTCATGAGCATTGAACTCAAGGCACTACAACATGTGTCTAAGCAGATCTTCTCTAACACATATATCCTCTGTGAAGCAGGTCACAGCCTTCTTGTATACAGCAACACTAGGCAACGTTTTCGGCACAACATTTTGGGGGAAATTTAAAATAGCAAAATCACTAACAAAAGAACAAAAGTGAGGAAAATACATCACCAAGTAAACTAGAAAAAGACATTTGTTTACAGTGTGAAACTCAAGAAGGCAGAACCTCACCTACATGACCTCAGTTGGCGATGTGCACGCATACTGGGCGACTCAAACTTTTGGCCACCCTGTATGTATTCACAAGTGACCAAAAAAGTGCCACATGTTGACTATGGGACTACAAATAAGTTTCAGTGAACAGGTAAATTTTCAAATATGGAATCCACAAAGAGTGAGGATTGACAGTGTTTATTTTTAAATTATAACTCATTGATTACATCTAAAGAAAATAAGTTTTCTCCCAAAAGCCAATTTGATGATTATTTGGATAGAATTTTTCTCTCACAGTTTTAAACATTTACCTGTCATTTTTCCATCCATTTGCTTATTTTCCTCATGGCATCCGTTTTTATCTCATAAGGTACGATGAAGAGAGATCTTATAAGAGAAGTGTGAGGTAAAAATCTCCTGATAACCTTCACGCTGGACCCCCTGTGTGTGCACTCCAGTGTTTTACTCCTGGGTGACCTCAACATGCTACCAAAGCAAGAGGTTGTTGTATCAGTCCTTTGTCTACCATTTCTGTTCTTTGTTGTATGTGTAAAGCTGTTGAGGTCAACCTGATCTGCAACTGAAACCTACTAAACCAGATACACCCTTGGCTTGGCCCAGGCTGCAAGCTAACTTTAACTGTTTCCAACACATTGATGTGGATGTTTCCAGCTTTATTCAGCCAGCATGTTTATGATCCCCTTGCAATTTTCACATATACCTTTATGAAGGAATTTGCAAAGGTAACCCACACCGAACGCCCAATGGGAGGAAATGACGCCATATTTAACTGTGTCTTGATGCTCCAGAGGATGGTTCTTAAAAGCAAACACACACCACTTATGTTTGGCTCTGCTTTGCTGGGTGATTCTCTCATGCTCTGCGTGCTTCTTTTTTGTTTCTTTTCTACATCGGTAATTTTTGCTCATGCAGACTGGATGAAGAACTGAGAGAAGCTTCAGAAGCAGCTAAGTAAGACTTGGTTTTAATTTAGCAGCTGGTGTGACTTTGGCTTAGATTTCAGGAATGAATGGGAAGAATCTGCATGCTTGGTGTTTTATTTTTGCATCCTGATAAGAATGCTGCATTTTAAAAATGTCCTTCTCCCATGGTAAATGCAATCTCTGCTTTTCTTTCTACAGTCTTTTCCCCATGATCTTGGTTATCTTAAGGAAAGCATTTGTCACTGTTTAATTTTTTAATATGCAATTCTAGACACCATAACAAAAGAATTGTCACAGGCACTACCACATAGGATATGACATCAGATGACTGTGAGCAGAACTTCACACATTCTATTTATGGGGGAAATGATAGCAAGTTAAAATTTGGAAGATTTTTGTAGAATCAATTTTATGGCCTTCCAAGATTTAAAACAACAGCACCACCTTATTTAGTAACTTGGAAACATTCCTTAACTCAGAGCCTCCATGATATTTTGAAAAATGCAGAAAAAAAAAAGTCATTGCTCACTATTGTTGAGGTATGATATTCAAAAAAGTAAAAGTCATAATGCTCATGAGAATATAAAATGAACACATTCCAATGATTTTATTAAACTAATTATTTAATTTGGGAGCTAGTGAAGTATTAAAGTCAATTTGAAGAGCATTGGAAAATTAGAGATATGTAGTACTTCCCTTTTATCAGCCGGATATTATTATCTTATTTGTTCCAGGACATTCCATGGATTCTGGAAAGCACAAACAGCATCAAACCCTAAATATACTGTTTCTTCTATAATAAAATAGCTGTGATAAAGTTTAACTTATAAATTAGGCAGAATAGAAGATTAACAATAACTAGTAATAACAATATTAACAACAACAATAATAAACAAATATAATAAAGGTTGTTTAAAACTCATGGATTATTGGAATTTTTCATTTAATATTCTCAGACTGTGTTTAAACTGCTAGTAGAGAAATTACAGATAAGAGGGGACTACCATATAGGCTATTTACAAAAGAATGTTTGATAAGGTTGTTGGGTTAAATACAAAACTGGTTAATGTCCAGTAGGGCAAAAAACTGTAACACTGGGTTATCAGAAAGTATTTGCATCTCTGCTGGTCATAAATCTTCAAGTTAACCTCTGCCCTTACAGAGCTATAAAATAGCCCTAGAGTCAGCCCAAAGCTCCTCTGAAAAAGTACCCAATCGTTAACCTCTGCCCTTACAGAGCTATAAAATAGCCCTAGAGTCAGCCCAAAGCTCCTCTGAAAAAGTACCCAATCTTTTTTTTCTTGTTCCAAGTTACAAAGAAATATTTTGAAGCTTCATGTTAAATGTAGATAAGTGCTACTCTGGAGATCCTGCCACACTAAGTAAAGTACTTGAAGCTGCTTCCCCATTTCAAATGTTGCTTACACTGTTGATTTTTACAGCAGGCATTCATTTTAACAGAGTATGAAAGCAGGAAGTCTACAAACAGTTATAAATTCTAAATGAATATGATCTAAATAATTAAGTTTTACTGCTTTGTTGTAAATAAATACCAATTCCTCATTAATACAATTTATTTAGACATTTTTTTTTCTGTAACACATTTTTATTGTAAGTAGCCTATAGAATTATTTGCCTGTAGTGTGAATCTTTTGTATTAAAAATGAAAGTTTTTTTGCTTTAGAAATTTTGTCAACAGTGTAGTTAACTGTTACAATACTCTTATTCTTTTTCTTTAAAGCGAATTAACATCCATTCACATGAAAAAAAAACCCTCAAAATAACATAATTTTTATTCTAACAGAATCTTCTTACTTTCCATCTCAACTATAACAAATAAGTAGTTGTGGAAGGAAGATTTTAGGAATCTAGGAACCACGTGTTGGTGTAATGTATAGCATTTATATGCACTCGATTGGTTTGTGTCATGAGGTTCCTCCAGAAAGAAACTTCAATGCATTCTCTTTTAGGAGGATAACATATTAATGAAATCAAGGAGCCATTTTCAAAATAAAAGATCGAGAGGAGACATCAATAATTTCCCAGCCAAACCTATTACAAAGTCATATTGTCATTTTTTTTTTTCATTATTGCCATGAAATCTTGCCTCCTTCAATAGGTTCCCCCCCCCTTCCATATTGCTACTCTTCCTATTTGGCTACCATAGTAAAACAGTTATTTTTGGTTTCATTGTGTAGCTTTCTCCTTTTTCTCTCAAATACCTAAATATTTTAAATGGCCCTGAAAAGCCTCAATCTCCCTCTTAAAAAAGCACATTGATCATGCCTGAGAGTTCAATAAATGTATGCTGCAAAAATTAATGCATTTACATAAAAGTAGGTTCATTACTTTTGAACAGTGGCTCCCCAATTTTACTGTACATCACAGTCACCTGGAGCACTTATTAAAACAGTCTCCTGCTGTCATCCTGAGATTTTCTGGTTCAGCAAGTCTCAGGTGGGGCTGAAATCAGGTGGTTCCAGTGATTCTTATACTGTAGGTCTCTGCCTTAAAATAAAGGGCTAAGTTTAAAACAAAACAAAAACTTTTTTTTTTTTTGATAGATGTTAGCAGTTTGTGCTTTTGCTTTGGATGCAGTAGATAGCAATTTTTCGAAAGAATCCACCAATTGTTCCTGTTTCATTTGATAGTGAAACTGAAAAATATTTGCCCTTTTGCATTGTAAGGAGAAAGCACTGTATTCCGTTGTCCCCCTCAGTGATTGGAAAGCCTCAGAATCCTGCAATTTTGGCCACCAATTACATTGACAACCTTTGAGCCCCTGCAGCTGCTCCCAAATCCTAGGACAAACTCTATAGGATGATTTGGGGTCCAGAAAACATGATCACTACATATCTTGGTTGTAAGGCGGATACACCCAGGTTCTTTCTATTGACAGATATGTTCTGACTTTCCATGTTAGAAAGCTTCGGTCTAGTTCTAACCAGAGGCAAACATATATTTTATCAAAGAACAAACCCTATCTGTCTATAGTGTTGCTTCTTTCCAATAGCATTTTAAAACAAATTTTTGCTTTAGAAATTTTATCAACAGTATAGTTAACTGTTACAATACTCTTGTCCTTTTTCTTTAAAGCGAATTAACATCCATTCAGATGAAAAAAAAACCCTCAAAATGACATAATTTTTATTCTAACAGAATCTATCATGCACACACACACTACCATTTAAATAGCATGCCAATTTGAGTAGCATTGACATTCAGAAAATGATTTGCTCAGCCTGACCTATCTTTTCTTTAAAACCTTAGATCTATACAGGAAGGAAACTACTTCCGAAGGATATACTACACACAGACCTATTCTTATTTTGCAAATGGAGAAGAATCCATCTGCCTTCTTTAGAGTGACAGAATTAAATGGTTTGCAAATTGCTGTTTTCTTTGGATTACTCTAAATTAAAAAGCAGAACAACTGGGTTTGGAAAACTGCCCTTTCTTGATTTCACTCCAGCTTTGCTAGGTTTTCCTAGCACACTGTCAACACTTTCTTGACCATCCTTGTTCACTAGAGTTGCCAAATACTCTCTATAAAAATACCAGACCACCAGCAAGAAGGGTGGAGAATGAGGAGGAAAGCCACTACCCTGCCTGGGGAAAATAGCCTTCTGCCATTTAAAGAAAAGAAAGAAAGAAACAAACAAAAAACCCACTAGTCTTATCACTGAACCTCTTATATGCAAACAGATAAATTGGCTTGTAAAACTATTCACATTATGAAAGAAACTCTTGCCTTTAAAAAGGATCATAGAATCCCTTCAAATGATATTTGCTAATAACAAACAACACCAGAGGTGGAAGAAAAGTAAAAGTTGAATTATACAAAGTATTAATCAGAAATTAATATAAAGCAAACTCAAAGTTTGCTAACAGTAATTGCACCAATATGGACTATCAAAACAGCTAATATGACACAAAAAACAAACACCTTCAAAAACTTTCACTTTATTATGTTATTGGATTACATTTTTCCTCCTGGACACACCTGGTTTAGGTTAGTGTTAGGATTACCTGTACACAGCTCAGCTATATGGAGAGATCAGTGTTCAAGGATACCTCTGACACCAATGTTTTTTTCTTTTAGTGTCTTGGAAAATCCTCACTCGTATGAAAACTGAAAGCTAACTGTGTTCATGTGTAAACAAAAATTAGGCTGCATGAGAGAGATTTTCCTTTGTGTATAAAATATTTGATTATTTGGGGTACAAATAAAATTTATGATATTATGTTCACTGAATAAGAGGTTTAAAAAGTCAGGAAAAATGACCAGACCAGAGAAAACCACAGCAGGTATTTGACATTTTTAAGTCTTTCTTTTAATGTTTCTAAATCATGGGCAATTATTGTATTTCAAAACCAATGTGGAAAAAGTCACAGCTTAATCTCATCATCTGCTCTGATGTAGATTTGCTCAGTAATAGCAATGGGACCACATTAAACAGTTTCAAATGCCCCAAATCAGTTGTGCTGACTTAGCAGTATGAGTGGAGAAAATGTTGACTACTTCCTATTTTTTCCTTGCACTCAGAACTAGCTGCCTTTACAATGATCCAGAAATGTCTTCTATGGAGAAGGAGTAAGAATTCATCATCAATAAAGCTATGTGGTTACCTGTGGTTGTATGGTGGGGCTCCGAAAACAAACAAACAAAAAATGCATCCAGGATTGGGTAAAGCCCGTTTAGATGTTCAGCTTTCATGTGCTCCATTCCTGAAATTAGAAACTCAAGAGAAACTTGCCAGCTTCATGCTGTCTCATTTGTGATCACCAGTAAGGACAACCTAAGTCTTTATGTGAATTCTGTTTTTCTAATCCAAAAGTGCAGAGAACATAAATATTGGGGCCAGATGTAAGAACAGTTGGGTAAGAGGAATGCAACTCTGCTTTCTGAATGACATCATTTGTTTTAATTACTGAAAACTGGACTTCCACGTTAACAATATTTTGGTGGATAGGGAAGAAGTATCCTTGTTTTGCAAGTTCCAAGAAACAGTTGAGTCTGCATGGAACTTCAGGAATGACCTAATTGGATGATTCCCATTCTATGAGAAATAGAAATTTGACACGCATTGCATTCATACCATGTGCCAAACTCTATAAAAGCTCATCTACAGTATCTGATTGTAATCTTCTGTATAAGCTTCTGAGGTACATTTTGCAGATGAGGAAATAGAGGCATAGACAGATTATCTAACAAGACAAATGTTTCACAGTCACAAAAATGGCCCAGAGCCAGCTAGGTATGGTGGTGCATGCCTGTAATCCCAATGACTCTGGAGGCTGAGTCAGGAGGATCGTGATTCAAAGCCAGTCTCAGCAATTTAGTGAAACCCTAAGCAACTTAGCAAGCCCCATAAAAAGGGCTGGAGATGTAGCTCAGTGGTAAACTGCCCCTGGGTTCAATCCCTGGTACCAAAAGAAAAAAAAAAAAAAGACCCAGAACTGAGATTTGAACCTTGGTAACTCAGATCCAGAGGTAGTGATTTATAAGTCAGAAAAAGGTGGTCTACATGTACAAATGGCTATGCCATCTCTCACCTAAGAGAATAAAGTTAGTAGCCAGGTCAATTTCAGGGAAAAAAATGGTAGTCACAACATACTCTCAGAGAGAACCTGACTACCAATAATGGGCTCCTAATTTAGTTTGACTGGTGGAGAATTTAACATTGTCCTTGTTCCCAGGAATCAAAGAGAGGTAAAGATCAAATTTAAGTGTGTCTCTCTTGTCACCTTTTTTTCCCCCTCCTGGTCCACAGAGAAGTTGGAAGATCATAGTGCAGTAGCTCTACAGTTGCCATGCTGCCCTTAGCCTAAAGGAAGTTTAGGAACAAAACTCCAGAGAGAGAAAGTCCTAGCTGAAAAGGACACAAAGAACAAATGTTGTAAATCATGCAGCTATTTTTCTGAAGGTCACTCTTGGCCTACCTTTTGAGATGATGGCAGCAATTGCTTCAAGCAAATTACCACATGAAATTCTGCAAAGCATACATATCTCAGTCCCTTAGTCCACCATGATACATTTTGCAAATATGCTACATTTCCTTCCTTAACAGAACATCACCCCCTTGATGAGTTAACAGCTTCTGCAATTAACAAACTTTGCGGAAGGCACGATCCAGTCACTCACTGCCCTGTTGCTGCTACATCTTCAGGCTTACCCACTCCTTTGCCTGCCTTGTCTGTTTGCTTCTTTTGGTCTGTGGGGCTGCTGGGGTTGGGAAGAAGGTAGAACATTCCTTCTTGTTTGGGTTCATTCCAGGGTGGGGGAGAGTGGGGGGAAGGGAGGAATGCTGCAAATTATTAATGACACTTTCCACTTTTTTTAATATTTATTTTTTAGTTTTAGGTGGACACAGTATCTTATTTTATTTTTATGTGGTGCTGAGGGTCGAACCCAGTGCTTCATGCATGCTAGGCGAGCGCTCTGCCACAGAGCCACAACCCCAGCCCCACTTCCCACTTTTTAAAAGAACATATTCTCCTACAGGGCTTTCCTTTTGGTCAGTCTTCTCTTTCACAAGCCTCAACTGGGACACATGATCACCATAAATATGGTGAGGTCCCAGATGAGCCAAAAAATTTTTTTTTCTCCCCTGACTTCCAGCCATGGATTTTGGCTTCCTTTAGTGTTAGAATGAGGGGCTTCATTTACCTTCTTCTGGTTTCATTCACTCCAGGCTTCTGTTCTTCCAGGGAAGAATCCTGTGTGGAAGCATTTTATACCTTGTGTAGTACTGATCAACTGCATATGGGCACAGGATTTTCCAAGGAACTTACAGGCCAAGAATAAAATGAAATGTGTGCTAATTCTATAGTGGTCCCTCACTGTGCTCAGAGAGAGAGAGAAAGAGAAGGGAAACATGCCCATCTCCCCCTCTTCCTGCATAAAACACCAATGTTTTTATCATTAAACAAGATCCACAGATACTTTGTCAAAACCTCATTTAAATCGACTAATGTGACCACATAAAATTATCTGAAGGTTGTTCTGTCTCATTGCAAAGTTGATGATAGAAAACTAAGCTCATCTGAGGAACACTCCATTTATATTCAATTCTGACTCAAAGTAATTTTTTTATCCAAATAGAACATTAGATTTTAAAATAGGCATCAGTGCTTATCTCCTTTATGTTTAGGTTTGAATTTTATTTATTCACACATGACTTTCATAATTTTAATATGTGTATATATATGTATATTATACATGACTTTTATAATTTTATATATATTGAAAACATTATATAATCAAAGGTGGTTGTATTTGGTGAGACTTAAATAAGTAGCATTGTTAGTTTCATTAGCTCCCCAACAACAACAAAAAACCAGTTATCTCAAAAAACAATCTTCAGGGTAGTTTCTAGTTTCTTGTATTAAGTTTTAAGAAAATTGTCCACCTTTAACTATCTCTTGCTTCTTCCATAAACTGGAGAAATTAAGTCTTTTAGCTTTTTGATTACTGGAAACAGAAGAGAAGAATCAAACTCCAGAAGGTTTACAAAAAAGTCAGAACAACAACAAAATGTGTTTGGAGTTGGATATTGTGGTATAAGTGTTGGCTCAGATTTTTGTTAAGGGCAGAAGGTGAAACAAAGTGACCATGCACTTCTTCACAGAATGATTTCAAGGATTCTCACCCACCTTGAAACCTTCCAGACAACTGTGCTTCACATTCTGGCTAAGTGAATACCTTCTTGGCCTGTGAGAGAAGCTGGTCAATTCCATGAATGAAAGACTAAAATTCCAGTCATCCAAATCAAACCTAATACAAACTTCTGTGGATAACTGTAGTCACAAATAGCTTTTAGAGCATAAACAAGATTTTTTTTTTTAAATAACCTGTTTGGTTAAAGTATGTTTGAAAAGCATACAGGGAGGGAGCACAGTGGATAGAAAAATGACAATCCCAAAGTAAAACTCTACAGATAAGAAAGCAAGTCAGATCCTTGAGAGCATTTAAAAAAACAAATATTCCCAATGACCTGGTCCCTTGTACTGGACCTCAGTGACATTCAGCATGACCAGGCTCATGCTGAATTAACCAGACAACGAAGAAAGGGCATTTACTAGAAGGTGACAGATCCTTTATTTCCAAAATGCCGTAATGTTCCTTGTCCAAATTGACTTTGGGAAGGAGCCTCAACACTGATCTTTTACCTCCCTGGATCATTCTGAAAAGGCATAAAAAGCTTCCAGAAACATTGCTGTAAAAATAAACAAATTCCATCTTTTAGAGAAAAGCTTGGCAATGAGAGGAGAATTGTGTTCTTCCAGATTGTTCTAGTATAAAAAAAAAAAAAAAAACCTGCATGATTTGTTTTCAGTAAGTCTTTTAAGGAAAATAGCAAACCCATGCCACCCAATTCATTCCTGAATATTTCTCACTGGGTTTCTCTTGTTTCTCCCTCGCTTTCTTCTCTTCACAGTATTGACCTGAAGCTGAAAGAAAAGCCCTAGTGGGCCACGGCTGGGGGATGAGGATGCTTTTTGCTTCGTGGTTCTGCTGAAACATATCTACCTAGAAGAGACAGGGCTGATGTTACTTTTTTCCACTTTGCACTACCTGGTGCCATTCTAAATTTCTAAGGGGAAAAACAGGAGGAGAATTTGTTTACTCTTAACATGTTTTATGAAATTGTGTGTATTTTCCTATTTTGCCAACTATGTGCCTCAAAGATTTTAGTTGAACCTTAGCAAGAAAGTAGGAACTTCCAATTCAGTGTTTTAACCCTTGCTGTAGTGGTATTTGGTCCCTTAGTCTGGCATTTACCAATAAGAGAACTTAAATCCACTGTTAAGCGTATGTGGATTTCTTTCCCTAGTTTAGCTGGATTTCTCTGTGATGAACACTTTAGATTTAAAGTACACAGTGCTCAACTCTCCCCAAGAAAGTGGCTCCCCATAATCCCACCTTTAAATTTCCTACCCTGCTTAGGACAGCCAGAAACCATTCACAAGTATAAAACCACCATCAGCTAAGTGCCCATTGTGTTCTTGTTCACATGAGTCTTCTTCATTAGCTTCTCAAAGGGAAAGTAGAGTTTCTAACTTACATCATTTTTATTTTAGGTATCATGATTTAGGTGAATTGATTAAAAAAAAACATTTCTCCAACGAGTATTGAAGACCTTCATATTGTGACACTTAGGGGTGAATGTTGAATTTTTAGCAGCTGTCTGTGCTTCAGTCCACAAACTGGGCATCTAATGTAGCCCACTCAAAAATTATTTGGTAACCCAATTTGCTGAATTTCCCTCTCACATGCTTATTAAAAAAGTGGCATGGTGGCACACTCCTGTAATCTCAGCAGTTTGGGAGGCTGAGGTAAGAGGATCACAAGTTCAAAGCCAGCTTTAGCAACTTAGTGAGGCTATAGATAACTTAGCAAGACCCTGTCTCAAAATAAAAATATAAAGGGCTGGGGATATAGCTCAGTGGTTAAGCACCCCTGGGTTGATCCTTGACACTGAAAAAAAAAAGTGATCTGCTTTAAGATACTCAAATTGGATCACAACATTAAAATGAAATGTATGTTCTATTATTTATAAAATAGTTCCTTATAGTTTTTTTATGCCCCTTAAAATACCAATATAATTTCAAATATTTGGGGCCTCCAGCAGATGGGTTGGCAAACTATGCCAAATCTGGGGCACCACCATAAGCTAAGGATGGCTTTCACATTTGTGGCTGAAAAATAAATTTTTTTAAATGTTTCGTGACATAAGAAAATTTTTCAAATTTTAGTATTCATAAATACAATGCTATTGAAACACAGACACACAAATTTGTTTTGTTACTGTCTACCTTCACACTACCTCAGCAGAGCTGAGTAGTTAACAACAAACCATATGGCAACCAAGCCAAAAATATTTACCATCTTTACAGCGAAAGTTTACTGATCCTTGCTCTACCAAATATCTTTTCCTACTTTGTGCCCCACACCCCACTTGAATTTAGATAATTTCTCTAAACAGAATGGAAGAATGAGACTGCAAAACTAATTTTGTCAATAAAATAAATTATTATTTATTTTGAAAACTAAAATACATGGCCAGCTGAGGAAGACAAGGAATCCTAGGCACAAAAGCATGGTCCAAGTTTTAATTGAACTTTTAATTTTAATTAAGTCTCAAAGTGAAATGTGCTTAAAGGTTCCTTTTGAGCTACTTGCTGGTGTTGCCAAGGTCCTTGTCTTACCCTGGAAGCCATTCTTAGTCCACTGGGGACTGTTAAAAAAGAAACTGGAAGAAATAAAAATGAAGAGGAGAGAGGGGTGGTCTGCCTTAGTGTCATGGTGGTAACTTCACTGAAGAGAGCTCTCCAGGACACTGAGCCCTGGTCCTCTTTGAAATAGTCATCTTTGCACCTGCACCTGAGCTCCTCTGACCTCACTTGCCCCTCATGTCTATTTCCTTCCTACCTTACCAAGACACAGGTCCACTATCTTTCCTCCAGAAGCCTCCATAGTTATCTGCTTTCCCCCCTCTCGATCCCTTTCAACTTACCATCTTAAACTTTGTGGTCTTTTGGATCTGTTTCCTGATTAAGTTTGGCTAGCCCAATAGGAAAACCCCCAAAGCCCACCATCTCTAATAGCCCAATTATTACTTCTGGAAGCCCAAATGATGCCTACCCCAGAATCTGGTGTTGACCTTAGTACAGTTACCTAATATTCTGGTTTGGTCACCTGCTGAACACTCCATTCAGCTCTGTCCCCTTTTGGAAGATGTACCACATGGTCCTCTAGTCATGTGTAACCTCTAAGTAATGAGGAATCCAGTGTTCAGCTTTGTGGTGGAAACCCAAGAACACAGAGCTATTGATAGAGGGCTCTTGTTACAGCCAAGCAGACGTGGCAACAATCCCACCCTTCACATTTTCTTTGAACTTGTCCAGCCTGTTTATGAACAACTAACTACTCAAATGATTGTGCTGTTTGAAGCTTCATCTTCCCACACAGAAATTATGGGCACCTTTCCCAATCAGTGGTTTTGTTTGGGCTGTTCTATGGGCTGCAAAACCATTTTGATGTTAGACACCTGCTATTTTACGATCTTAAATGGACAGATTAATTTAATTGCACGTGTTAGAGAAAAAGCTACCATGTAAATTCAATTCAAGTAAATAGAATCCTAGGTGAATCCTGAAAAAAACAGTCCCTAAGCAGATAGGTAGACAGGTGTAAACTCTCACATCATTCAACTCTCTGGCTCTTGGCATTCTGAGCATTCTTGCTTTGGTTCTGACTTCTGAGAACTGCTTTGCACTTTTCCTATAGATTTGTAGTTAAGTGAACCCAGGGGTTACTGGGGACAAAAGTATTGTTTTTATGCAAAGTGGCAACTGTTCTTTCTGTAACTCTTGGTCTAGAGAAAGAACAAAAATCTGCACAGAAGATAATGTCAAGGAGTGAGAAAATTTGAAGGCAATAGCTGGTAATGGAAGAAAACCCTGAGGTTCCTGTTGAAGCCATACAATGTTTTATAGGGTTAGTCTCTAAGGTATACTCCAGATGTTTGTGGAAGTCACTGCTCCTAGCCTTTCTCATTAAGATATCATTTTAAGGATTCAGTTACAGTACTATGATTGCAATTGTCATCTTATCACAATGCCTCAGTAGTTTGCTCCCTTAGAAACATTTAGATGTGCACAGATTAATCTTTTATATATTTAAAGATTTTTCTACCATGTATCAGATTGCTTTGAATAAAAGTATCTATTAGAGTTTGTTTTGGCAAATAAATAAATTCTCCCCAAATTGTGTGCATTAATAATATAAAATATGTAATGACACAATGTATCTATATAATCTCTCTGTATAATGCGGAAATAAAAATTGATTCCACATGTTATGGCTTGCTTTCTTTGAGTCAGCCAGAATCTTTGCAGCAGTTTATTTGGTCATTGATTACCTTGGCACTCAGTACTAGTGAACTGTATATATTTTGGCCTTCCTGGTCACCAAATTTACTCTCCCCTTATTTTTGCCTTTCACGTCTCAGGGTTTGACCCACTACACTTTCAAATGTATTGTTTATCCTTGGGGTAAGGCATTTCTTACCTTGGAAATATCTCCACGTTTTGTGGTTACCCGATTATACCAACTTCTTTCTCTATCCCTTGCCTTTTCATGGCAGATATTTATTGTTTAATTATATTTCAGGCTGGAGGTATAGCTCAGTGGTAGAGTGCATGATTAGCATAGATACAGTTTGACCCCTGCACCATAAAACATACCTCAAAACTACATTTTAATGTTCTCTTATTTTTAAGTGTTTTTCTTTTTAAAATTTCATAACTTTCAGGCCAAATCAGAGTTGGGAATCACCATTGTGCTTTTTTTCTTTTATTCCCCCGCCCCAACTTAATCAAATGATACTTCTGCTTCCTGGAAAGTTGTTGGACCAGCCAAAAAAATAAGTTGCTTAACAAAAAGTGAGATATTGCATGTTCTCGTGACTTAGGAATGAGTTTCAATGGAAATTGTCCTCAACCCAAGTAAGGGAAAAAGCAGAAGAGAAGACTGAGAAGTAATTAATTGCAGGCAAATGAAGACCATGCGTTTCAAGGGGAAAGTTGTGCTCATTTCTACAGCCATTACCTAAGATGGTAGCAATGGGAGGCATGCCATGGGCATGTGTCCAGCACTAGGGGAAAGAGTGGGTAAAATGGGGTGGATACACCCTGTGTATACTACTCAGTTGCGAGAAGCAACAAAGTACACATTCATAGAGCAACACTGAAATCACAGGATAGAGTTGAAAAAGTAAAAGCAAACAGTATTTTTAGCATAGTGCTATTTATGTTATGTCAAAACATTCACACATACATAACAAAGCTACCTATTATGCAAAATCCATGAGTATTTAAGGACCTAGCACACTCATTAGAGTGAGTGTAGGGCAGGAGGGTCAGGTATAAACTTGGGAGCCTAATTGAAAATCCAATCAAAAGGGGTTCTCATGAAATTTATGGGCCGAAATTTAAAAATGTTTAAAGGAAAACAAGCTTTCAGCCACTGAAGCCAAGACTTTGAGTCGTAGATCATAGGAAAGCTGTGTTAGGCATTTTGAGTCCCCAAGGGGCTGTTCCCCTGACAGCTCCTCTTGTGCCGTTCTGCTGCGTTGGCTGTATCCTGGGAACAGCTTGCCAGCAGCCCGCCCTGGTTACATCATCTGTACCATCATGGAGAGTTTAATTAAGCTGGTGCCTTTTGACATCAGTCCTCACACAGCTGTGATCTTTATAGAGCAAGGAGATGGCCTAACAAGGCTAATTTTCCTAGAGAGTGTCATTCACAATCATCCAGGAAGAAGTATCTCTTTTCAATATATAACCCTTTCAATGACACTTAGATGGCAGAGAGACAACCGTTATCCACTCTCCCCAGCCTTATCCCTAGTGAGGAACCTACAGCTCTTACACTCGATCATGTGTTCCTTATGAAACTCTTTCCCTCTAGATCAGTGAGCTGAATTGCCCAGTTCCCTCAGTCTTCATTACCTATTGCTGCATTAACAAGTTACAGGTGATTCTCATTATTTATGGTAATTATATCTTATAAAGTGAGTGAAAGCACCAAATCAGTATATATTGATCCATTGCTGCCACAGGAAATAGAGACTATACTCCTCTGAGCCTCTGGCCATAATATTTCTGCCAATTGATCAATATATGGTTGTTTTATGTGTTTTTTGTTCAAAGACTATTATTATTATTATTATTATTATTATTATTATTATTATTATTGGCAGAAGTAGTAGTAGTATTGAATCCAGGGAGGTTTACCACTGTGCTGCTTCTCCTGCCCTTTTTACTTTTTTTTTTTAAGACAGGGTCTCCCTAAGTTGCTCAGTTTGGCCTCAAACTTGTGATCCTCCTGCCTTAGTTTCCTGAGTCACTGAGACTACAGGTATGCCTCCATGCCTAGCAATTTTAATATACATTATTGGTTTGTTAATAATAAGTTCATAGCCAGAAACCTGAATATAACTCATACCTTGAACAAAGCTTCTCTAACATGTATATTTTCTTCATAAGGTACATCAGAGGGTTGGGGGTGGAACTCAATGGTGGAGCATATGCTTAGTATGCAACAGGCCCTGGTTCAATCCCCAACATCCAATCAAAAAAGACACAATACAGCCTTCTTGCATTTAGGAATATTAGACAGCCATCAGTATGTTTGGGGGCCATTTTAAATAGTGAAATCACCACCAAAAGCACAAAAACGAAAAATTTTAAAAGCCCATGGAACTAAATAGACTTTGAAAAGGACACTTGTCTACAGTATGAGCAAAACAAAAGGAAATACAGCATCTGTTCAACATCAGCTGGGGGCATGTGCCTCAGGTGATGCAAATTTTTTGCCACCCTGTTCATGTCCATAAATACTATGAAAATGTCATGAGTATTGATTTCAGAGATAGAAATAAATTTTACTAAGTGAATTTGCCAGTATGGAATCCATGAATAATAAAGATCGACTAGCTCATAACTTAGCACACTGAAACAGCACACCACAATACCTCAGTGCCTGTAGTCAGAAAGCTAGGGGCCTCTGCTTCAGGTTTCTCACAGCCGTAACCAAGGTGTTGGCCCAACATCTAGGTTTTATTGGGGCAGAACCTGCTCCGAGACTCACTCACCCGGTGGTTGGCAGGATTTCTTGCTGCCCATTTGCTGGAAGCTATCCTCAATTCCTTGTCATATGGGTCTGTCCAACATGACAGCTTGTTTATTAAAATCAAAGACAGAGATGCTAGTAAGTGAAGGCTACAATTTCTTATAATCACAGAAGTGTCATAAATTTTGCTCTATTCAGTTATTAGACACAAGTCTGTAAGTCCAGCCCACACTCAGTGGGACAGTAGTACACAGGCATAAATACCAATAGGTGGGGACATTGGAAGCCACTCTAGAAATTTGCTTAACATACCCCAATGCCTTCTGCAAATTCCTCTTTTGATTTTCTGTTTTTTTTCATATTCTAGTGAAGGAACTTTTTGGTTTCCATTTTCTTTGTTCTTTCTGCTGTCTCCCCAGGATTTCAACAAACCTATTTTCAGATCATTTATATCCTGTTTTCAATCTTAACTTCAAATCATCATTTTTCTCACTCAGTCTTTGTGCCTTTATAATCTCTAGGGGCAAAAATTAAATGCTCTCTTCCTTGAGCTGATGAAACCATTTCTCTACCATCTCATTGTCTTTGAAGTCACTCACAGGGATTTAAACCCTGGTTCTGCTTACTACCTGCATTACTTTGGATGAATTTTCTTTTTCTTTTTCCTTTGTTAGGTACAGGGATTGAACCTGAGGTGCTCTACCACTGAGCAACATCCTCAGCCTTTTAAAAAATATTATTATTATTATTATTATTATTATTATTTTGATATAGGGTCTCACTAAGAGGCTAAGGCTGACTTGGCAAACATATGATTCTCCTGCCTAGGCCTCCTGAGTCACTGAAATTACAGTCAAGCCCCACCTCACCCAGAAATTTACTTATTTGAGCATTAGTTTAACCATTTTTTTTTAAATGTGCATAAAACTCTCATCTTACAAGCTTCTGTGATGGTTAAACGGGACTTAAATGCCAGGCCTAGTGCTTAATACAGAGAAGGCATTCAAAAAATATTCTCCTCCCCTCCCTCTTCTTCATCTTCCCACTCACCTAGCATTTTCTCTGTGAATCTGCCAACATCTCCAAATCCACTACCAACTCTACCTTTGGTTTCTATCAACTATTTCAGCATCTCACTTTCTCTCCCAACCCCTCTTCCAAATAGATGACTTCCTTCAACCCTGATGTAGCTATATTACTCCGTCCCCTGCCTTACTCCTTCTCTCCTCCTTCCAAACTTTCTCTTATCTCTACTCAGTTATCTCTTATCTCAACTAAGTTGGCCTCTTATTTTTACTTTTATATGAGTTTTTGTTATTGTGATACTGGGGATTGAACACAGAGGCACTCTAACACTGAGCTACAGAACCAGTCCTTCTTTTTTGTCTTTTGAGACAGGAGTCTCCCTGAATTGCTGAGATTGACCTTAAACTTATGATCCTCCTGCCTCCACCTCCTGAGTTGCTGTGATTACAGGAATGCACCACTGCACCTGGCTTGTTTTTACTTTTTATTTGGAAACAATCTCAAACATGAAAGAACCATAGAATTACTTTTCCTGAAACACTTGCAAGAGTGTTGTCTATAGGATGTCTCATCATCCTCCAAATAATTAGTGTGTCTTTCCTACAAACAGAGACATTCTCTTTGTCTATCAAAACCAGGAAATTAACATTGAAATGTTACTACCATCTAATCCTCAGATTTCATTTAAATTTCATCTGTTGTCTCAATAAATGTCCTTAATAGCAAAAGAATCTGGTCCAAAATCACATGTTACATTTAGTTTTCATGTCTCTTTAGCCTCCTTCCATCTGGCAGTTTTTGTGTGACTTTCAGAACCCTGACATTTACGAAGATTACTCACAATTTCTCCAGGAATGTCCCTGGAGTTGGATTTGGCTTTGGATTCAGGTTGTTCATCTTTGGCAACAACGTTTCAGAACTGATTTGTGTTTTTCTCATTGAGCCAGGCTGACCTTCACTTTGAACACTTGATCAAGGTAATGTGGACAAGGCTTTTTCACTATAAAAGACCTAAGTTCCCCTTGCAATTAATATTTTGTTAGGGATGTGCTCTAGGTATATAGACAGCCTGTTGTCCATCAAACTTTTAATTTGCTGTTTTATTTCTATCAATGAACTTGTGGAATCCTGCTTTATTTAATACATTATCATCTGTTAGTATTTATTTTGATCTTCAAATTGATCCTAACCTGGT